TTGATTGGTGGATAAAGAAAGAATGTCTCAAATGTTAAAAATTTTGTTCTCCCAAAATCTTTCATTCAAATCCTTTCATGAGATATTTTGCAGTATTTTCAATTTCATTGGCAATTTCAATAATGTTCATTGGCAATCATCAACATATACTCCAATTATGGCAAATCATGATTTGGATCGTTGATAACGTTTATAGTGGGGGAAAATAAGCAGAAAGTTAGGGAGATAAATATAGTATGAACACTTAGCGATAAATATGTTATTAGAGATGCAATATATATGTGATAATGATGCATGTACTTACAATGAATGAGAATACTCTTTTGGGGGGGTGTAATCATGTCTAGATCAAGGGTTAATTGTGAGTCATACATTTACCATCTATAGCTAATAATTATGGTTTCTTATTTATATTGATAATGATGATAATGTGTTTTTTTTATCACGAATAGGTGGAAGATGACTAATTCAATTATATTTCTAACACATTTCACTTAAAATAAGAGACATTCTTCAGGATAGCCGAGTCGCTTGAAGAGAGTTGTTAATAGGAATGACAATTGTGATCGATCCGATGGATACAGGCACCGATTTGCCCCGTCAAAATGGAGAAAACTACATTGATCGGGTAACGGGTATGTGGTGGGAAATACATGTCATGCACCCGCCTCATTTATTTTTAGTTGGATTTTGGTTACATTTTTATCGATTATTTGTACCACAACTAATAAAAGATGATATTTTTCTCTCTTCATTGTGTATACATGGATAATGGATGTACTAACCATAGTGTATAAATGAAAGTTCATAATAGATTTTAAAGTTATTTTTCAAACAGGGATATTTTTGCTTGTAATCTGCCATGTCAGCACAATGGCCACATCACATATTACACGTCATTCAGGCTCTTCCATATTATCTAATTTCGGTGTGCTAAGAATTGTTTTGAAAAATAGGGGCTATGGGGATAGAACTGCTGACCTAATGTACGCAACATAAGGTCCATAACGCCAGACTAACTCAAGTTGTCACATAATCCACAACCCATGTATTTTGAGAGCTTCCCAACACCAATTTTTTTGTTCTTCGTCTGGCCAATATATTACATTAGTGGATTAAGCAAGATCATCAAATTCGTATTTAATTCATGCAAAGTTGAATTATTGAAGTGTAATTTTGTAAGAGATGGAAGTTCAAATTAAAAAAAATACAGCCACACTTCTTTTCAGATTTTCAATGCGAATAGTCAAAATTCTTGAAATGTATGTTAGCTCCCTTTCAAAATCATAATGTAGACAAAATGAATGATAGAAAATTACTGAACTAGATAATAATGAAACAATTGAAATTTTAAACTCAGAGGTAATCTAAATAAGTAAAAAGTTCAAGCTCGATGCAATTTTGAAAACAAAAGTTATTTTGAAAAGTATGGATTAATGATCTTATAACACTCTAGATTCTTAAAACAAAACCATATATTAATGATGTCACAACAATATAAAAAAAGTCATTAAGCACAATGCAAACTTCAAAATATAGATTGAAAACTATTGATTAATAATGAGGTAAAGGTCAGTTTGGTACTCGAAGTTGCATAAAAAAGGTCAAACAAGTCCTTATATAGGAGGCTCTGTCCGGCCATCTTCATTTGGGATAGTTCCTGGTGAAATTTTTTGACTAAATTTTTTGAGCATCTTATTCATTAAGTCTAGTTTACTCATATCAAATTTCAGCTAAAAATTCAACCAGGAAGATATTCAAATGAATTCTTAAAGATGACTACGTAGTTAAAAACACAGTTATCTTCAAGAATTCATTTGAATGCTTTCCCGGTTGAATTTGTAGCTGAAATTCGGTATGAGTAAACTAGACTTAATGAACAAGATGCTAAAAAAAATTCATCAAAAAATTCCACTGGGAACCGCCTCAAATGGTGACGGCCGGACAGTAAGGACTTACTTGACACTTTTTATGCAACTTCGAGTACCAATCTGACCATTACCTCGATTAATAATCTTACATTTAAACTTCATTATCTCTGTAACAATCATTATTCAAAATAATTTTCATCTGTAAAACTGCATTAGGCCGGAATGGATCATAATTTAATGTGCTTAGATTTTATTTTTCAAAATATAGTTTATTTTGAAAGAATCATAGGTTCTAAGAAAACATAGACTGATCTATGATTCACTAAAAGATGTGATATGTGAATCACATTCTTTCTCAAATGAGTTTTAAGCAACTATTAAAGAATGATGATATGTGAATGATATGTGAATGAGCTTAATATGCTTAAACTTCAGTGTGCAGTTTATTCTTAAATGAATTTAATGTGATCAGAGCTTAGTTGAGTTGCACAACATATGATTAATTCGTTGAGCTTGATTTGTGATTCATGTCTCAAACTCAATTCAATCTTTAAGCACATTAAGCACATTTATTTGTGTTTCATCCTCGATGCAATATGAAGACAACATAGAGGCATATGGTAAATGGGTCACCTTTGTGTCATGTTTATATGTCATTTCTCATATTTGTGGTTTCGATTTTACTTGAGCACTTGCGAATGATAATCAAAACAACTAAAAAGATCATCAACCGTGTAAAACTCACCTGCATAACTCTATGTACACTACAATCTTTTTTTGTTGTTGTTTAGTCTGGAGCGCAGCATGAGAAAAGAAGATAGCAATGTGAATGACATCGTTAGAGCAAACTGAAGCACCACCAAATCGGGATAAAAGAACAATGTTCTTAGAGACCTGATAATATTGTGACAATAAAAATACATCATAAACTTAACTCAATGGTTCCATGTGCTCAAGCAACAATGAAGGATAATCCCCATTAATTTGTTATTCATTCCTATCAACGCTGAATTGAATGAAAACAATATCTGGATGAAAGAATGTTTAAAATACCTTAGCTGAGTTGATAGAAACAATAACTCAAGAAGGTTGAAAGATTCCCTTACGTAGTATGTTGAATCGGAATTCAAATCAAGTAAAAATAGAGTTAAAAATACAAGAGAAACTTAATTGAATCTAAAATTAATAATTTGGTTGAATATGAACTATTATAAAAATAATGTGAAAGACAATGGAGAAACTTAATTGAATGGAAAATTAAGTAATTTGATTGAATAGGAATTGAAGTTATAAATCAAAATCTAACATAATGTCATTAAAGTATGAAAGGATGCAACTTAGCACCTGGCAGGACTGGGCGAGGTACAATCGACCTGTCAGTTAGTACAGATAGATCAATTGAAATCACTTTGCATACAATGCTTATGTTGAAGAGTCGACACCTTCAGTAATATCATGAAGGCTTGATACACGACGACTGGCACAATTGAATGACGCAGAACCGACCGGGGTACACTCGATCGATATCACTTTGCATACAATGTTTATGTTGAAGAGAGCCGACACCTTCGCTAATATCATGAAGGCTTGATATACACGACGACCAACGAAATTGCTGGTGCGAGAGAAATGGATGAGAAGACATAGATGGGTGGAAAAGGAAATGGTAATAGAGGAATCGGTCGAAGAAGACACAATGATGATTGATACGAGCAGGCGATTGAGATGTAGTTTGTGTGTGGACAAGAATATTGTTCATCGAACAATAAAAAACATTGTTCATTGAGCAGCAAAAAATTGCATTGTTATTATTAGGGGTGAACAAAAAACCGAAAAACCGAAACCGACCGCCAAACCGACCGAAACCGCCCGACCAAAACCGAAACCGACCAAAACCGAACCGATAAAACCGAAACCGACCGAAAGTGACTAATTCATCGATCATTCGGTTTACGGTTCATACTTTTGACTTAAAAAACCGGTCAAATGAAAGTAAACCGGCAAAAATGGCTAAAATCGACAGAAAACGATACAAATTGACCAAAATTGACTCAATTTTTGCGGTCCGATTCTCGCTAAAACCGCCCGACTAAAAACCGAAACCGATCAAAACCGACCGACTAAAAACCGAAACCGACTAAAACCGAACCGATAAAACCGAAACCGCCAAAACCGAACCGACGAACACCCCTAGTTATTATGTATATATAGGTTAAGTACATTACATTATGTAAGACTATATTAATCTTCAAAACTAAAAATTAAGGGGGACTAATACACACATTTATCTAATCAAAGTATAAACATTTTATGAAAACATTATATGTATAATATTAAAAAATCGAAAGTCAAAGAGGGGAGGTGCCCCCCGCCACCCCTAAATCCATCCTTGGTTGCGGACATGGGTGAGAGCTTTGGGGCTATTGACGCTTAAGAGAAGGAGGCAGAAGAAAAGATAGATGAATTTAGGGTTTTAATATATTATGGGTAAAATGGCAATAAGAGTCATATTTTTTAGAGAAAGTATTGCAAATGCAATATGAGATGATTATAATGTATGAGATGTGGAAGTACAACTCTTGTTCTGATTAACATGTTACTTATTGAACTTTCAGTGTTGGGAACATTTATGTTAATTTTTGTGTTGTTTCAAATGTTTGTAAATGTGCGTTTATTTTTCCAAATATAAGTCAACGTTGTCCGGTAAAAATGAAATAAAATTTGAAAACATCTGGTAAATATGTTTTCTAATTTGGAAAACAAAAAAGGGTAAAACGAGAACAGAAAAAAGACTTCAGAATTTTGAGCATGTTTTAGGGTCTGTTTGCAACTGCTTTTAAAAAAGCACTTCTCAGCTTTTGGCTTTAAAAAAGCACTTATTTTCCCAAACACTAAAACTTTTATTTTTCTCGGCTTCCGCGTCAAAAGTGCTTTTACTTTTTCTATTACACAAAAAGCACTTATTTTACCAAACACTACCCACTTTTACTTTTCAAAATCACTTTTTTCTCAAACACTATCAACTTTTATTTAATCACTTCTCCCCATTTCATTAAAAAAAGCACTTTTTTAAAAGCAGAAGCTGTTGCAAACAGACCCTTAATCCTGATCAGGTTTCCTGTGCGGACCCTGGGAGTAAAGGTTCTGCTAATTTGTCACTCCGTCCCTTTGGAGTTTGGATTTGTTGTCGACTGCTGCTGGTTGTGACTTGTGAGTTTAGCTCCTCTTTTTCGTCTTCCCCCAATCCCCCACACTGTCACTTACTCACTCTACTCGGCGGTGATATGGTGTAGGTTTTACGACTTTTCTCTCTCCCTTCTCTCCGTTAATCGAGCTGCCATGGATAGATACCAGAAGGTCGAAAAACCGAAACCAGAGGCTCGCATAAACGAGAACGAGATTCGAATCACTTCTCAGGGCTTGATCCGGAACTACATTAACTATGCTACCACTCTTCTTCAGGTAACGCCTCTAGTTTAACGTTCCGCCCGGGAATATTGCGTACGTTTACTGATTTTCTCGTGTTTTATTGTGTTAGATGCGACGCTTAAGTTCTTCGTTCACGCTTTGTTGCATATTTATAGTCTGCTTTTGCGAGCGATTTTACCACAGAAATTCACAAGTGGTCGTTGGTATATTTATTTCTGATGCCTTTGGTTGGTGTGTCACTCTGTGGATTAATAAATGATAATGTGAATGGGTTAGTGGTTTTTAGTAACGTGTATGGTATTATAGTCATATCTGTAGCAGTTCTTTCAGAATGCAGCTGATATTATTCTTATTTTAACACATTTATCATTAATTTGATCTATTTTAAATCCTATATCTGTATATGTCCCCAACTTCCTCCCACCTTTCTTCCCATAGTAGGCTATAACATGTTAAATTAAGGGCATATTGCATGCTGCAATATGCCTTGATATATGGCTCACTCAAATTCTTGACTACTCCACACGGGAAAGCCTATGCTGTCTCAAATCAGTTTGTACGTGCTCGCGTGCCAATTGTGACATTTTTTATCAACACATATCCTTCATAGTTATGATTCATATCTATTTGATAATATTATGACAGTTGTAATACTATCATTTCTAGCTCGGTGCTTAAGATAGTTTGGATCTGTTTTTCCATTGTATATTTTTGTTTCAATTGACACTTCACTTCTACATAAATATAAGGATCTTATAAAATAGTTGAATGGCATCTCAGCCTTTTTTCCACGGTACTTCTTAAGGGTGCTGATGGGTTGTTATATTATTTATTCCCATATAATCCGAAAAGGTCATCTTAGTTCTTACGTGTAATTTTACTTGAATTGAATGGTTTAGGAGAGACATGGTGAAGATATTGTCCTGAAAGCAATGGGTCAGGCAATCAGCAAGTCAGTACTTGTTGCAGAAATTATCAAGGTGGTTTATTTCTCACCTAAGATCATCTCTTAGAGACTCTTACACTATCTATCTTGCTTTGTTCATTCCTTTCATTTATATTATCACATCCTTGGTTTGTGATATATATTTTTGTTGAGTTACAGAGAAGATTTCCTAGATTTCACCAGGATACTGCCATCAGCTCTGTAAGCATAACAGATGTTTGGGAACCCATTGAAGAGGGGCTTGAGATGTGAGTTTGACCATGGCCATTTCACACGTTCTAGACCTGAAATCCATATTTCAGATGATTTCATATTTTTAAACCATTGTGAATAATGCTTATTACAGTGTGGAGCAGACTCGCAATGTTTCCATGGTTTCGATAACCTTATCAAGTAAAGAACTAAACAAGAACTCTCCCGGGTAATTTTCTTCGTATCAACAAAAACTTTATCTAATCGAGTATAATTGTTTTTATTGATTAAATACAACTGGATCCATATTTTTAATCTTCTTTAACATGTTTTAGTATTTTACATTTTAAACTTAAGATTCATCTTGTGAATCAAATTCTAATAATTTTCTTAAGTTATAATTTGTTTGCTTTCTAAATGTGTCATTGTTTGATTACTATAAAGTTTCTCTGTACCAATGTTTTAACATATCACAAGCTTCGTAATATGTAATATGGCATTATGGCATGGTTAGACATCACTGGAAATTGACTGTTTTGTGATGGCTACTCTTTCAGTGGGGCCTGACTGATTATTTATTCCACCAGGTATCAATCCCCATCGCATGCTGCTGATAAGCGGAAACATTATAATAACTACCAGCCACAGCTACCACCTAGACAGTCACGCCCTGCTTATGGTAGTCGTGGTAATGAAGGTGATGATGGAATAGATTAGAATGTTAAGAAAAAATAAATTGAAACTTTGAAATAGTCGAACCAGTGCAGATTGTAATTGTTTGCTCTTTTCAGATTTTTATGATCAAGGAAGAGGTAGTGATAGGAGAGGAAGGGGTTGGAACGGACGTGGTGGATATGGAAACTATCAGGGGAACTACTATAATGGAAACTATCAGGGGAACTACTATAATGGAAACTATCAAGGGAATTATCAAGAGAACTATCATGGGAGCTACCATAGAAATTATCAAGGTAGTCGTATTTTGTTTATGTGATCATAAATATTTATCTTTACTTATTATTATGTATGATTTATTTTATATTTAAACCTTTTCATTGCTGTCGTGGTATGCAGTCAATGAAGGGTACTCAAACTGGGGAAGAGATGGTGGTCGCAGTGGTTGGGGTTACCGTGGTTAGTTTACTTTTTATTTTGCATTTCATGATTTTCTCAAACTAGCTGTGTGCCTGTGCATCATTATCAGCTTCTCAAGGGTATGTTTGGATCATAGAAATGCTAGGGAAAATATAAGATACGTCAAGGAAAGTCGGTGTTCAGTTTTACATCAGAAAATGTGAAAGAAAATATGAAATTTCTAAATATGTTTAGATTTCAGTCTCTGTACACTATAAATAGTTACAATGAGTGAACAAATATAAAGTATGACCTAATTAATTTGAAAAAAATGTTTTATTTTCTTTACATTTTTTATCCTTAAAAAAATCCTCCCTTTAGTTTTTCATCTCTATTTTATTTCCATGGCATTTCTCAAGTTCCAAATGGACTGTTGATGTCTTAGACTCTTAAGTATTGGAAATGATATACTTCAAATTTGTTTGATGGCATTGGGAATGTATAAATAAGCAGTGATATACACGGTGTTTGCATTTATTTGAATAGGGTCAGGAGGATATGCAGGCGGCGGTAGGGGCGGAGGTGGTAGGGGCTATGGTCGTGGAAGGATGGGCAACCGCGGTCCTTCAAGAGGAGGTGGTGGGTATCATGACTACTAGGCTTGCCTGGGTTATCATGAATTTTTGGGGTGGCGTCACTTATCTACTGAACTGCTAGGCGATTTTTATTAGCACCCAAAAAGTCTTGTTTCAGTGCATTGCATTTTATGAAGCCATGAAATTCCAAGTGTAGCTAATTTTTGTCTGCCTTCATTTAATGCACCACTCATACAAGTGTGTATATGATGGGTCAGCTGCTCGTTAATGCTCATGTTCCATATTAGTTGTTCCAAATTGTACTCTGATTTCCTAGTTCCTCTGATTTTATTATTTATCCTAAACTTTGGAAAGTTTTTCTATTATTTGCTTTATCTTTTGATATTTTTTCCGCCCTTGATGATTTTCCATTACCCACTTTTTCATATTTTTTTCTTTTAACTACTTTCTCTACTCCTTTCTTTCTTTTCTACTTTTTCATAGGGCTGGCCGGCTGGGACTTCTGAACCAAGAACCGGAGAACCGAACCGTTATGACCTGGTTCGGTTCGGTTCCAACATTTATGAGTTATTTGTTAATGGTTCAGTACCTATTTTTTTATTAACAGTTCGATTCTCGGTTCCTGAAAAAAAAATGTACGTGGAACCGTTAAAGAACCGTTATATATAATAATTAAAATTATATATATTTCTTATTAGTATATATATTTTAATGTATATTTACTTATCTATTTTCATATTACATTCACTATTTAGTTTAGTTATTTAACCATTTGAAATTATTTTTCATTTAACTGGTTTTATTGGGCTTCTTTAGCGAATATCTTGTTTTGTTTTGTTTTCTAAAATTTGCAGTTTGTTATGTATTTATGTTTTAAACTCAATTTTGAGGTTTGAAATGATGTTCAACATATTTGTATTGTAATATCAAGCGATGAATGTCTTTTTGACACAAATTTATCAAGCGATGAATGTCTTTGACACAAATTTAATTGTGATTTGTAAGATTTTTTTTAAAGACTAAGAACTGTTAAATGACAAGAACCGAACCGTTCTTAACGGTTCGGTCTCTTATCGGTTCTACAAAATAATTTATAAGAACTGAACCATTAGTAAAATGTTGTGAGCAGAAAAAATAAAATCAACGGGGTTAGGGGTGGACTCGGGCCCGGAACCGGCCCGGCCCGGTTATTGTTTGGCTCGGCCCGGTCCGGGGCCCGGTGGGTCCACCGGTTCGGTTTGGCCCGGCCCGGCTGCTGGGCGGTTCGGGCTCGGGCCCAGGTTTTGGCGAACCGGCCCGGCCGGTTCGGGTCGGTTTTTAATTTTTTTTTTTTTTTGAATTTTTTTAAGTTTTGGGTTGGATTAGGTATTTTGGGCCATTTGAGGTGGTTTGGGGTGGTTTGGGGTTGAGGGGGAGGGGTTGGGGGTTAAATAGAAGAGCCAAAAAAAAAAAATTAACCGGTTAGGCCCGGCCCGGCCCGGCCTGGTTTGGCCCGGAACCGCCCACCGGCGGTTCGGGCTCGGGCCCAACTTTCCTGGCCCGAGGCCCGGCCGGGCCCAGGCCCGAACCGGCCCGAGTCCAGGCCTAAACGGGGTAAACCGTTGCCCGATAATCAACGGTAAAAATACCGTTGCCCAGAGCCAAAAGGCTAAAACCAATTTTATTCCAAGATGAGCCAGAATGAATCCTAACAAGGATTCATCTACTAACTCTTAAACTAGGAAACAAAATCCTAGACTCTTAGAGATCCTAATAACCTCCAACAAGGAAACAAAATAATAAAGATCCTAATCAACTTCAAATAGAAAAGAAATAATAGAAATCCTAATTAACTCCTAATAGGAAACACATATTAGAAATTCTAATTAACTCCAAAAGGAAACAAATCAGAAAAAATAAAAAGAATAAATATTAATTAAACAGCCCGCAACTAGCCCACGAAGGTGGGCTCAAGCTCGTCTCGCCTTCGGTAAACCTACGAGGGCTTCCTCCCCTCTTCTTCCAAGCCCATATTCTGCTTCATATCATAAAATTTCATATTTTCAAATGGTTCCACATATTTTGTCTAGGAACCAAGCCAGTCCCAGGCCTACCTTTTCATCTACTTCTTTTATACGAGTACTATTCAGTGTCTCCATTACTTCTGGTTTGTAATCCCTGTAGTATTTTGGCAAGCCACGCGAGGGTCCATTACTTCTGGTTTGATTTCCTCTGCCAAAACGCTCCTTGGTAGATGCAGATAGGCGTGGAGCCGGGCCGGGTTGGGCCTTTGGTGGTTGGGGGAAGGCCCGGGTGCCACTGGGTTCGGGCCGGGCCGGGCCTCGGGTCGGGCCTCGAGCTAGGTTGTAATTTTTTTTCTTTCCTAACTACCTCCTGACCCCCCCTCCTCACCCCCACCCCCCAAACCCCCCAAAACATCAAGCCCAACCCATGGAAGGCCAAAAAAACTGAAAAAAAAAAACCGGTTCGGGCCGGGTTCCCATTTATGCAGCCCAAGCCCGCCCCCGTTTGAGCCATCAAACCGGGTCAAGGACCGGTTTCGGACCCGAAGCACCGGGCCGGTCCCGCGCAGTAGCGGGCTGGGCCGGTTCCCGGGCAGGGTGGCCCGAACCGGGTCCAAGAATATTCATGCAGACATCTAGCAAAAAACTTGACTAGGTCGGAACATCTTTATTTATACAAAATAAAAGCATTTTTCCTTGTAAATGTAGAATGGATGAACTACATTGGAAAACTACATAAAGGACCTTCTTTATGCAAATGTGATGCATCCAGTTATGAAAGATATAATCTAAGGGGGTGTTTGGATCTCATTTTTAAAACTGCTCAGGAACAGAAGCAGAACCTGGAGCGTTTGGGTGAAATTACAGAAATGATTCTGGTGCTCTATTTTACTCCTAGAATCAGTTTTTTTAGAAGCTGGGGGGTGACAAGCTTCTAAAAACTGATTCTGATTCTGCTTCTGCTTTAAAAAAGAAGCAGAAGCAGAATAAGTTCCAAACACCCCAAGAAGGAAAAATTGATCTTATATTTTAATAGAATTTCCATAATTCCATGGTTCATTTACTTTATTTAAAAACAATCACCAATCATCAAGTTTAGGCTCCATCAAATATAGTGGAAGCTCAGAGCATCTCCAATGCTAAAACGTGAATGGTGCATACGTGGCATGAGAGATAACCAATTAAAAAATAATAAATAGTTTTGACTCCACGTCTCTGTAAAAGAAACGGTTCCACGCTTCCACTCATTTTGTAAACTCCAATGTAAAGTGATAAAACAGTTTCTTAATTCTATCTCTGAGGATGTTTTGACTCAAATTTGTTTCACTCTCATATAAATTGAGTAAAACTAGCCTTAAACATAGAAGTTGTGGGATGTCAAAATACATCGGTAGGGGATATAAAATTTTGCATGTGTTACTACGAAAATTTGTTTATAGGTCTCAAAGAAAACGACACGAAAATTTTCCACATCTCTTTATTGTGTTTGATTTTTTTGATTGAAGTAGTTTTTTGATAAAAGATAACAATTAATATTAAAATCGAGGACTAAATACAAGTTCGTCATAACCAAGGCTACACTGAGGTGAGACACAAAGCTGGAATCATGCTTACTAGCGGTCCATCTCGCTAACCCCACAATTTGATAGATTTCATTCAAAGCAATGATGCACCTGTTACTAAAAGAAAATGCAGACAATATAAAAGAGTTCAGAGAAAACAACAAATCAAAAGAACATTAACCAGCTTTTCCAGCCACTGGCAAGAGAACAACGGTTTGACCAGCCACCGCTAAAGGTTCCTCGCGCTTATCCTCAAATTCTTCTACTACTGGCGGTGTTGCCCGGACAACACCGTCACTTCCAAGTTTTTTGGAGCAACTTCATCCACGTCCATACTTGCATGTGCCCCCTCCTCGCTAACCTTCTTAGTGTCATACGCTTTCTTGGTGCTTCCTGAGTTGTAGCAATCTCCTTGCCCTTTGAGAGGAGTCCTTCCACCATATAGCTATCATGTTCACTTATCGCTTTATCAGAAAATGCTCCCTCATCCCTCATGTTTCCTGACTTGTTATTGCTAGGAATGAGTCACCTGTTACCAGAATGTGATCCACCCCGTCCTGTATCAGCCCGTAACATGATCCATAAGGTTTCTCCCCAATCGGTGCGCCACTATGCGGATTACAGGGACAAAAACGACCAGCGTGCCCAAGAATCCCACACAGAATACAAAGATTTGGGAGTATCTCATAACGAAAGTTTTGCCCAGATCCACCTATCCCCCTCCTGTCTGCCCTGTAAGCGCCTAGTCAAAGCCATAGTAATATTAATAGTGACTCTAATGCGCAGGAGCAACTTTTCTTTTCTGCCAAGAGAGCACTCATCTACTTGCACCAGCGATCCAATGTTGTTAGCCTTAGCTATTCCACGGGCTGCCCTTGCTGTCATGTAGCTTAACGGTAAATTGTGAACCTTGACCAAAAGTCTGCATGATCCAGTGGGACCTCAAGAGGTCTGTCACTCTGTCAGTACGCCCCCACACGTTTGATGACCGCAAAATCTGTTCAAATGTCCAAAGCTCTTCATCAACAACTCTGCTTAGACCTCCTTTATGATAGAATTGTGGAAGGAATTTGAAATCCCCAATCTCGTCAATTGAAACTCCCTTGACTAATCGTCGGATCATAGCCATTGTTTGGTAAAAAGAAACAACACGAATGGGTTTGTCCGATACTACTCTGGCCACAACCACTAGACAGGATCCCTCTTTAGTCACGTCAGCATTCTCCTCCTTAGCAATAGATATCATACTACAACTCTCCGTGATCATTTCCATAGTAACACAATCCGAAATTAGCAAACACAACCCAGAAACTGACCCAACCAAATACAACTAAACACGCGTCAAACAGTAACACACCCCAATATTTTTTTGTTTGTTCCAGTACTAGAGTAATATAACTCGTGTGTAAAAACATGTAACTTACATTGATGAGAAATGTGATTGCATGTCAATCGAAATGTAACTTGTCCAATACTGAGCATAAGAAATAAAACATTACTTTCAATGTAAACAATGAAAAAAAGTCAGTTGTTCAATTACTTTACGTAAATAGTGAATATGCTTTGTTTTTAATATCATGGCTATAGATAATGTTTTTTTTGTTTGAATAGTAGAAATTTATTTTGTAATGTAACTCGTGTTGTGGCCAATGTAACTCGCGTTGATGAAAAATGTAACTTACGTATATGCACAACGTAACTTGTTGAGACAAGTCAAAATGTAACTCACGCATAAAGAGATTTAAGTCACGCATGCAAAGATATAACTCTCATCATGAAAATGTAAATCGTACCTAAAAA